ATAAATCCATACAAGGGTTAATATTCTAAGTCCACAAAAATATAAATTGAGAGTTAATTATATACATCTATAAGTACATGCATAACGTAATAAAGCATAAAACTCAACTCTATACCCTTCAGAACAAATCTTAGCACATAACTATGCGCCCCATGATGCCTAGTGATTTCCAATTCATCAATACTGACCAAAAGACTGCAAATATCTACAAAACAGAAAAAACCCACCAAATGGTAAAATGCTAAAATGAAATCAACTACAAAAAACATAGGAGAAAACTTAAAAAAAACCATCAACCTCTAACTTTGCATCCTGGAACCCAGTCAACCTCTATAGCACTAACAAATGAACTGTTAGTACCCTGAACAATTCAATATATTAATAAATTGCACTTTGAAGAGCCAAAGCAATACTTGAATAAAAAGGTTCCTTTCATGGGGTTCAGATAAAAACTCCTTTGCACTTTTAGATAGAACAGCTTTGGGGAACCAAAAAAATTATACAATTAAAAGAAAGTAGAGGCAGAGATGGGATACTTACATCCTCATTGAAAACCACCATATCTAGCGAGAGCAACTTTTTTAGGCAGCCACAATCATGGTCATATACATCAAAATCAATATGCATAAAAGCCCTGTGGACTCTAACGATGACTCTCCACGCCTCAATTGGAGGATAAACAGCATTGAGCCTTTCATATTCTTTGACCATGATAAGTAAACAATCAATGGACTGCACAGATCCTACCAAAAAAAGTGAACTCTGTGAAGCTACAAAATGAGAATGGAAAAAGTAGAAACAACAACCAAAAAGCATGGATTGCAGAGTCTGTCAGAATCTAAATAAACACAAACCATTAAATTTCTTTGACTAAACACAAACAAGTAACCCACCAACTACACTGAATTCCCATTTACCAACACCTACATCACAAAAGACAAATGCAACACAAAGGACTAATACTACAAAGGGATATAATGTTGGTACCTCAATTGAAACTTACCTTTAGAGCTAAAATTTAAGGATGGAAGAAACTGAAGCAAAACATTAGACTCGCCACTTATATAGTAGGCCTTATAAAGTAACTTTCTTATAAAACTGACAAATAGCTGCCATGCACACGTGTGAAATCTTTAAAAAATGGGAGGCATTTCTTTGCTGCACATAGCCAAATATATCAAGCTGTTACTATTCAATTAGTCATCACTGTTCATAGCATAGTATATTTGAGTGAAGAGCCGTTTAAGATGAAAGCTTGGCTCAGCTCATGAGAGATTTTGATTTATTATATAGGTTGTTGACTTTTCCTTGATCCGATTAAAGGGAGGACCCGAACAATTCTTTCAGTGAGTTCCTCCACATTGAACCTTTCCCTCTCTCCTCCTCCTCCGACTCCTCTGATGAATCCAGCACATGCTTCGGCTGAAAGGTCGTCTCTCACCGTCTCTCACCAACGAGGTGATCGACTACTAGTGTTATAGTAGAGAAGCATCCATAAGGTGGTTTTCTGGTGCTGAAACTGAACCAGCGGCCTGGTCCTGGGGCTTCATGTGGGGCTCTGGATGCACCGCTTGCATAGCTAAGAGGTTGAATTTCTGCAGCATCACCATCTAAGCGTAAGTCCCTCTCTCTCTCTCTCTCCCCCTCCCTCCCTCCCTCCCTCTGTGTCTGGCTGTGGCTCTCAAAGTCTATGAGATACTTCAAATTTTATTGTGCTATGGTGGTGGTAATTATAGGGGGACAATTGGGAATTGATTACTTCTAAGAGACGTGACGGAGCTCACGGTCACCACCAACAGTGGTTCTGGTGAGGAGGCGATGGAGGACGTTGGGCGGTAGAGAGCAGTTGTGGGAGAGCTCTCACGAGGGAATAAAACAGATGGGAGAGAAAAATAAAGAGGGAATAAGTTCCCAAACATACTTGCAGAACGGCTATAAGTTCTTCAGATTGGAAAATAAGCTCCCTCTTCCTAACTTATTCCAATCGCACGTTCAGAGGACTTAAAATCCAATAAGCCCTGTCAAACATCACACCATCTTCAATCAGGCTTATCTATGAATTTAAGCCACGTTTGGATGCTGACCCAAATAGGCACTAATTTAATGGAGGCAAGGCTTAAAAACTGTACAAAATAAGATGAGGAGATTACCATACAAGTTAGCGTGTCTTTTGATGCTACTGATTATATTTAACGATAATTCTGGCTTTCGCATCCAAGCCAATCAGAACTTGCCTAACCACTGTGATGGGAGTCCAAAAAAAAAAACAAGCAAAGAAAAATATTTCAAGGCTATTTGACGAATATCTCTCATTTATGTTTATTTATTTTAATTTTGAATTTTAAATCTTTTATCATTATTATAATTGAGTTCAAAAGTCAGGTTCTTGCATCTCTTCTGCTATCTTATGAACCGTACAAATTAGCCTAAAAAAATCCCCATAACCTTCTAAAGCTTTCAAAATAATATTTCTGCCATTCACATTACTTTCGTGTGGTTTTTGACATTAATAAATATTGAGATAAAATATGAAAATTAAATAAAAATATATAAGAATTTATGAAATTATATATATTTATTTATGTGTGAGATTATATAATATATAAATAATAAATTTGTGGTTGCGTTTCTGAAGTCGTGAAATATTGTAGGGAGAATTATAATAAGGTTATAAGGAAGAAAAATAATTACAAAACAAGTTCAAAAAGTAGTCATTTTCTACTTTAAAACTTGTCATTACAGGCTGTTTACGTTGTTATTAAGATTTTTTTAGTAATTATTTTTTTCTTGAGACCTCATTGTAATTCTCCCAATATTATATATATAATTTTGCATATTAAAATTGTAAATTCATCTTAGTTCAATTGGCAAAGACTCCGGTGTAGCTACCAAGATAGAAGGTTCTTCACAACAAGGAGCGAGTCAAGGGTTTGACTCATTTTGGTGCTGCTGAAACTCCTTTCAATGACCCATTTTATCACCGTTGCTAGCATTAGGGACGGTCAATTTTGCAATAACTTCTTGTCACTGCTAAAAATTTTGATGTAACTTTTTGATTTTTAGGGGGTGTTTGGGTGATGACCCAAACCATGGTTTGGGGAAAAAATTACCTAAACACCATAAAAAAAAAAAAAACCAAAACCATGATTTTGGCAGAAGCAAAAATTTTCTGCTTTTGGGGGAAAAAAGGGAGAGTGTGAGAGCTTATAGGATATGTGTCTTGTTGTTTTTTTTTTGGACCAGACAGATATACCCTCCCAATTATTCATCTATTTCTCATTGTTTCAGACGCAGTACGACGGAGAGCCTGAGAGAATCATATATATGTGTTGTGTGTTTATTAAGTTGTTTTATGTGTGCTTATTTAATTGTCAAAAAATATCATGATATTTTATATGTATAATCTTTAAAATAAAATAATATTTTTCTGTTGGTAAAAAATATTCATTTTTTACAAAAACATTTTTAATCTCATATTTTATAAATATATATACACATATTAATTATATTTTCTTATATGTTCTTAATTATATTGGTAAAAAAATATATTATTAAAAATTTTAGTCCTTTAAATTAAAATATATTGTAAAATCTATATTTTATGTAATTATCATATTAACTTATACTCTTTTTAGTAATTTACATATATAAAAAGTGCTTTTGATAACAATTATCCAATTATCATAATCATTTTTTTACAAAATTTATTATTCATAAAATCTATTCTCCAGAAGCTATTCTTCAAACTATAATTTGGTTTCATCCAAACATCCCCTTAGTGATAATTTTTGTTGCGGCTAAAAGTCAATTTTTTTTAGTGCAATCGAAGGAAAAAACACACAATTGAGCGTGTTCATGTTCCTATTAACAAAGTTTAAACAATGGTATTCATGATTATAAATGGGCCTTTTTTACACCGGCTAAAAAACCTTTTACACCATTTATCCGACCAGTTTTAAAAGAACTAATTCTACACCAGTTGTCTCTAGCTAATGCACAAATGGTTGATAAAATTTAAGAAAAAATCATTTTCACTTTCTACCCCAATGACAAGGGCAAAGACAATAGTGAAAAATTAATTGCTTTCTATACCGATTATTTTTTTAAAAGTTTTTTACACACCTATTTTATTTTTACAACGTGTGTAGAAAATCTCACTGCTTTTTATCTATGAAAATATCATTGGGTCATAATTTCGACATTGTCCCCACAACAACCAATGCAGAAAGGCTGCTTAAACGAACATTTTTGCACTAGTGTTAAAGGAAGGCCAAATTCGAAAGCTATAAAGCATTGGGGGTCTATTCGTGTAGGTGTATATATCGACTTTTGCAATGACATATATATACAAACACTTTATTAATGAGGAATTTCCTTGCTAAAATCAAAGGAGGAGAAAAAAAAGTTTGTCATCAAATGATGAAAAGTTTTGTTACTTTGCGTTGGTGGCAAATTGTAGAAACCCTTGCAGCACTTTATGAATGAAGAGGAAAAAGGTGGGTGGAGAGTGGATAACCTTTTTTTTTTTTGTTAGATAAAGGTATTCGCCTGCTAAAAGCAAGTCTATTAGTTGTGGATATTAAATTTAATTATGAAACTACTTTGTATGATTTAGAAGGCATTAATGTTACTTCCCCCCACCCCCCTCCGGAGGGTTTCTTTCTCTTTCTTTCATACCAAATTCATGCACCCAATCAATCAATCTAATGCAATACATTATTTGCAATTCGAGAGAACTTGGATTTCGTTGAACTTGGCCACTAATAATTGCCAAGTCTTACGTATAATATTTGATCGTCCCATCATATTGCGTCCTCATCCTCAACCCAACAATAAAGTCAATAATTGTTTCGTGATAGTGAAGCCCATATCAAGTGTTTGATATTCACGGGGAAAAAAAAAGAATAAAAAGGAAACATCCTCTTAATGTTCCTTCATGTGGACTAGATTTTTTCTCTCTTCTCCTTCATGAAATAGAATCCACAAGTCTCTCAAAAACCTCAAAATTAAAGCTAGCTATCTTCCATGCATCTCCTTTATCAAACACATTTATCTTCACATAAATTCCCTAATATCCCCTCTTCATTTTCCTCTCTCTCTCCCCCTCACTCTCTCACTTTCCACAGTTCTCTCTTTATTTATTTCTTCTTCAACAGTACTGAACTACACATCCATCCCAGAAATCTCATTCTCTGAAACAGATCGATCGATCGATCTTCTTCTTCCCAACATGAGCTTCTGCGTACCCACCTGGGATGTTGACAACAATATTCCCTCAGGCCCCAGAACTTCTCTTCCTTCTAACTCCAACTCCACCGTCCCCGATCTCATCCCCACGTACTGCATATATATATAGCGTTTCTCTGTGTGGGGTTTGTGTGTCTTTATACTTCCTAGCTGCTTATATTTTCTGGGATTATTTGCAGGTTTGACTATGAAGTTGCAGAGCTTACATGGCAGAACGGGCAGATATGGATGAATGGGATGGGTCTGCCACGACCTCCGGCAAAACCCATCATCTCTGGTGCGGCGGCGAGTACAAGGTCCGATCCGTTGACCACCCATTCGAAGTATCGAGCTAGTGGAACCTTAGAGTCCATAGTCAATCAAGCTACTTGCTTCTCCCAGAACACCAAATCAGTGCCACAAAGTGTTGACGGAGACTGCGGCGGTGACGGAGACAAGTTAGTGCCGTGGTTTGAACACCAACGCGGCGGCGGCAGCCGCGCTGCTGTATCAAACACAAAGACTATGGATGCTTTGGTGCCTTGCTCGAATCGTACGGAAGAGCAGAGTACGGCGGTTGTAGATGAATCCATGGGTGGAGGAGGGATTGGCACACGCAGCGGAGTGGGTTGCTCGGCACAGGTGGGATCTTGTGGCCGTGGAGGAGGTGCTGCGAGAGTTCCGGCGGTGGCGCGTGTGCCTGTAGCCCGCCAGTGGGATCAAAGTGTAAGTGAGAGAGATAGCCATCACGTGACTCCTGACACGTGCGATATGGAAATGGATGTGGGTTATACTTCTGCTTCAATGGGTTCGCTGGAAAACACCAGCTCCATCCGGCCGTACACGAAGAAGACCGCCGTTGACGACCATGATTCTGTTTGCCACAGTACACAGGCAAAGTTTTTCTTCGTTGAAAAAAAAATCATATCAGTTATTTTCATTATCGTTTGCCCATGTTTATGTAATTATATTTACTGATGGTTAGTTTTTTCAAAAAAATTTTAATATATAATTTCGTGTTCTCTAATCTTTGTTTAAATTTAACCTTCATTATAGAGAGAAGAAGATGAGGAGGACGACAGAAAAGAAAGAACGGTGAAATCTTCATCGTCCAACAAACGGCGTAGAGCTGCTGATGTGCACAACCAGTCTGAAAGAGTAAGATCTCGCTTAAATAATTCGAATTTAGTTTCAAATAGATTATTAATCATTATTATTTAAATGAAAAATTACACTTTTTTTGGTTCATTGATAATTTTCACATGATCCTGTTTCAGAAAAGGCGAGATAAGATAAACCAAAGGATGAAAACATTGCAGAAGCTGGTTCCAACTTCCAGCAAGGTAATACTCCGTTTTGTTAGTAATTTTCTTTCTTCATCAAGTTAACCAAACACCATAATTCTATAAACCATAAAATAAATTATGAGTTATCAAATTGATATTAATTACTAAAAATATAGACTAATACACGCACATAGCCCATATACCCACATAAATTCTTATTATCACAATCGACTAAAAAGAAATTATAAATGCTTTAGCAGGTAATTAATGCACACATATCATCAGATCCTACAAAACAGGTATTAATTTGGAGATACTATATGCAGAAATTATTTTTAAAAAAAAATTATTTTGATAACTACTTGACGGATAAATGTGGTCCAAAGTGTATATCCAATCAAATCACAATAATATATAAAAAGAAGGTATATTTTTATATATGTTTATATAAATCTCAGTCCATATGAATTTCCTGTTATCCTAATTATGACTTGTCACACTTTGACAGATGTTTCGGGGACAACCCTTTCTTGTGGTAGGCCCTTATTCCACACAGTACTCTCATTAGCCTCTCAACAAGTCATCCAAAACCAACCAAAAAAAAAAAACAGGAAGAATAATAATAATAATAAAATCTCATCAATTTACCAACCCATAATTCATAATATCAACAGTTAAGAAATTCGCAAATTAAAATCTTTTTTTAAAAAACATATTAGCAATTATGAAGGGGGCCAAAAAAGGAAATCCATATCCCCTAATTAAACAGATATTTGGGTTCCAATCTTAATTATAAATAGAAAGAAAACCGTACCAAAACGTTTTCTACAACGCTCAAATCTGACGGGGTTGTTCTCAAAAAAAGGGGGAAAAAATCCTTTCCAAAGACCATAGAAATAAGTTTTCGTGTTTCTTAGATCATGACCCTTTCACTCTCACGTTACAATTTATTTTTCTCAATCTTTCTGAAGTGTTTTTTTGTAGCTAGAAATAATACTACGTAGGTCCTTCAGCGTCAAAACTATGAGTTATATACTTGCAGGTTTTAATTACTACTACCTCCAATCTTAATTATAAGATCTCGCTTGTATACTATAAACGAGGTCTTATAATTAGGATCAGAGGTAGTATTATTATTTATTAACTTTACGATTATTTCTTCACTATGTGTTTAATTTCAGACTGATAAAGCTTCAATGCTGGATGAGGTAATAGATTATGTGAAGCAACTTCAAGCACAAGTTCAAATGGTGAACAGAATGAGTCTATCTTCCATGATGCTGCCAATGACCCTGCAACAGCAACAACTTCAACTCATGTCCATGATGGCTCCAATGGGCATGGGAATGGGCATGGACATGAACACTATGGCTCGCCCTAACATCCCCACCGTCCCTCCCATTCTCCACCCTTCCGCCGCCGCCGGCTTCATGCCGATGCCCTCCTGGGACGGTTCTGCTGGTGGCAATCGGCTTCAAGGAGCAGTGCCTGACTTCTTGTCCTCGTTCCTAGCATGCCAGACACAACAGGTAGGACTTATGGTATCCTATAATATTGTTTTATAATTGTTCACATTAAACAAGCAAACCCGCTGGGTTACTAAGTTTAACCAACATAGAAAATCTTTTTTATGTCGTTTGCTTGTCTTTTTTGGGTATAACTCAGAGTACACTCAAGTTACTTTGAATCTGAGATTAATCTTTATCGGATTGGGAGCGTTAAAATTAAATCCCTCCCAAAAAGTATGTTTTTCGGGATTCGAACTTGTGTTCTCCTCTTTATAGAGATGAGACCACTTACTACCATCTCAACCAATAGCTTGTCGGTTGTCATTTGCTTGTTTTACTAATGTAAATTTATGACAAACTATATACTACATATTCTCCACTAGCCAATGTGAAAAGTCCTTCCTAACCGATGTAGTAGTGCAATAATTGTATATTTTTCATGCTAGCATGACTTATTTTTCTAAGGAAAAGAGGGATAGAAGTCAGATTCTCTTGTTGAATGTCTTCTTGTAATGATTTGTCATGAGATTCAATGTGTTTTTAGCACTATGTTAGGTCTCAAATCTGACACTGCATGTAGCTAGCCGCAGATTATGAATAATCTGTGGCTTAATTTTTGGATCATGTGTATAAATGTCTTTATGACTCATCTCTACATAAGACACACACATACATAATTTCTGATATTATTTTTCAATACTTCATTAATTATCATATGATATCATTAATCAATAGATGATTATAATTGATTATTGCAGCCGATGACCACGGATGCATACAGTCGGATGGCTGCTATTTATCAGCAAATGCAGCAAGCTCCAGCATCAAGTTCCAAGAACTGATCTCTCTGTTTTTCTTCTGTGTGCTGTTAAACTGTGTTACAGCCATATATATACTGGCTACAATATAGTTTGCAGCTTTTTCTTTTTCTTGGGTGAAAAATTTGTATACCAATTTGGTATAAATTAGACATATTTTATGTGCACTTGAAATGCACTAAGTGTGAAGTGAACCACATTGTTCAAACTTATGAATATTGTGATTTGCTATAGATTTTATATGTTATATTGACATTAACTAAAGTAGTTTGGCTTTGAAAAAGATAAATGAAAAAGCTCCGAAGTAAGCACTGAACTCAGTTGCTTAGTGTTGGGGACTTTTTTGCCTGCCAAAACAGCTTGAAGTTGGTGGGTTTGAATTATTATCTGCATAATTGTATGTGTTTTTGTATTTACATTGAATGTATAGAACTCCACTATATTCAATTCATATTCCTCTTTGTTCCCCTCTCAAAATTTGGATGTTGAATGACACTTTTTATGCACAGAAGGCCTAATTCTTTAATTACAATTCGCGGCAAAAAGAGCACACTTTATCAGAATTTCTATGTAAGAATTACTGGGCACGTTGCCAAAAATTTTAAATAAATTCGTAGGTTTCGAGATTTTGTAATCAAATGAGTTACACTATAATAATTTTGACATGAGATTGTGAATAAAAACATGCAAATTTACGTGGCAAATAGGTAGTTATAAGCCAATAACAGTGATTAATAAATTAGATAATTTTAGAGTCGAGTTTTGATGAAAGAAAAAAATGACTGTGGCGTCCTATTTTTAAAAGCAAAAAAAATAATTATATACTATTGAATGATTATTTCAAAAATATGATCAACATTATATGTAAATCGTTTATGCATTGCTTTGAATGATTTCGTTTTTCTTCCAGTCAAATATAATTACCCAAATGAATATAATTCTTTATTTTGTTTTGTCGTCGTACATTCAGACCTGAAATGATCACTGAACGACAAGAAGCAAGTTCTTCTGCGTGGCTCACAGTTTTTAAAAGAATGGGGGGAGAGAGGGAGATAGAGAGAGAGTAGGCGGCGAACTCACACTAGGAAAGATAGAATAAGTTGAAGGGTTAGATAAATTTGAAATGGAGAAGGTATAAAAGTGATAAATACTACTCCTCCAATCCTTAATATAAGACCCGTTTAACTAATTTGATTAGATTAAGAAAATTAGGTAAGTTAGTTAATTATAAGAAAATGACACATTTTTTCTTAAAACACTATAATCATCTTTCTTAATACCTCATCTCCCTCTTTTACTTGATTATGATTGAGGGGTATCCGTGGAGATAATTTAGAGAAAACTGATAAATATAATAAATGGGTCTTATATTTAGGACTAAAACCAACTCAAAAATTGGATCCTATATTAGAGACCGGATGAGTAATAAACATAATACCTTAAGGTGTCAGACCAGGACATGATATCAAATCCTCTTATATATTTCCTTCCGAAGTCCCAAGAGAAATGAGACCTAAGAAGATTTTTCATGTCATTAACACTTTCCACAGTCCCAACGTTATATATATTGATATTATTTTTAATTATATGAATTATCTAAATTATTCAAAAGAACAAATCGTTCATTAAATTTATATTATGAAGTACCCTCTATTTGGGATCAGCTGCAACAGAATTTTAAAACTTGATTTATGATATGTATATACAATAATAATTATCAATTACAAAATAAAATATGCATCTTTGAGTATAAAATTTTACTATTCTAAACCTAATAATCTTTCGATCCTTAATATAAGACATATCTAACTAATTTGATTAAATTAAGAAAGTTAAGTAAGTTAATTAATTATAAGAAATATAATATGTTTTTCTAAAATACTATAATCATAGATCTTCCTTAATATCATTCCTCCCTTTTCTACTTGATTATAGTTGAGGAATATTAATAGGAGTAATTTAGAAAAAATTAATAAACATAAGAAATAGATCTTATATTTAGGATCAAGATCAATTCAATAATTAGGTCTTATATTAAAGATCGGAAGGGTATTTTTTTAATATGAATGGTACAATAATGTCATTGTGAATTGGCACGAGGTGATCATTTTGTATATACTTGTAACAAATATGTGCGTACGAGTTTATACTTCTTCTGATCTTAAATATAAAAGTTAATAGAGAGTTTTGGTTTGATTATAAATATAAGCTTCAATTTACTTTGTCTCGTAAATTTATAATTTTCCCCCAACACTGTCACTATTGATTATATATATATATATATATATATATATAAAAGGAGGTTTTTCATCAATGTAATAACATTTCAGTGCAAATGATAAAGAAATTTAGAGAAACTAACACATTTTTTTTTTATAAATAACTAACTTAACTAATTTTCTTAATCTCTATAAATTAGTTATCTAACACTTATATTTAAGGCATAGTATCATATTCATATGTAATAATTCTTGATGTAAAACAAGGGACGTAAAATAGAGAAGAGGGATAATAGAATATAAAATAGAGATAGGGAGACTAGAGAAGAGGGATAAAAACAACAAATAAAGAAGGGAAAAATCAAACTAATAATATTGGGAGAAAAGAATGGAGACTTTGTGAAAAGGGCAACCCAATTTTATTTAATTCATAAGGTTTACAAAACAAATGTGTTGAGGTGTTATTAAAGTTCTTAACCTAACCCTAAAAATTAAATACGAAATATTTTAGAAATTCTAAAATTAAGTGCCAATAATAATTGATGATAAAAAAAATAACAATCAAATCAAAATTAGAACAAACTATAACCAAATCGTCCAATTAATCGCCAAATATGCTTAACCATCCTCTAATCTTATAGAATGTCCAATTATTCATTTCTTCTTCTTTTTTCTCATCACTTCTATTTAAAAGTTGAGACGAATATCCAACATTTCTTGTTGCTTTTGTACGCAACTAGATGACCGACGACGGGATGGCCGTTACTTTTGAATAACCCACTTTCATATCATTTTATTTTTTCATATCCCCACAAGTGTCTTAAACGTGTTGCATTTCGACATTATTAATGTGTTTATGACCTATGAATAATATAATGTAGCTTCACACGGAATGTGAAATCTGAAATGAGTCCAATTTGGATTAGATGGTTGTTAAATCAGTTATTATTACTGGCAAATAATATTGGACCGAATCAATCACCAAGAGCGACAACATCCAACATAGTCAACTTCAATTGCATGGCAATCTTTGGTTAAATTAAGATTTCTTCTTTGTGAGAATCCTTGGATCTTCAATTCACCACACACGTTTTGTCAAAAATGGTTCCCCGCATTTATTGCCTTTCCCATTGCCAATCCAATGATATACTCTGTATGAAACTGTCACCACAAATAGGGACACAAAATTCATAATACTAACTCTGACCCTTAATATAAGAATTTGTTTGATTTTTATTTTAGTCCAAATATAAGACCTTAATCTACTTTATCTCTTATATTTATCTATTTTTTTCAAGGTAGTTCTTATAATAATGGTAGTTCTAGTTAATACATTTGATTAGTAATATGTTTTAGAAAGATAACATATATTTATTACAAATAACTAATTTAGTTAGTTTTCTTAATCTACTCAAATTAGTCAACTAGCTCTCATATTAGGGACTAAAGTGGTATTATCTAATAATTTTTATGTGGATGCTAACTTTTTTTTTTTTGGTTTCTCTATGAACAAAAACGAAATATCTCTCTTTAGAAGATATTATTTAAACATTTTACCAAATTCTCACTCTTATCCCTTTTTAAGATACTTTTTTTAGAAGGAACAAGTGATCCTTATTAATTATAAGTCACCAAGTGGGGTTAGTTATATTCTTTCAAGATTGTCCCTATTTAAAGTTTGAGCCAATTTTTCTTTTTTGCTTTCCAAGATGTAATCCGCGATTTCGAATGTGGGGCAATTTGAATTATTTTTTTCTTTCATTTTACCATGAATTAACCATCTCCTTAGTTCTTGTGAGGTAATTGGAGGTTACCTATAATAGAAATTGGAGGGAGTATATACCATCAAAATTTATCTTCTCCATACATGTATTCGGCCGATGTATCGACCTAGATTTAGTGTGGCCTTAAGAAAAATATTCATCATGAAAAGTTACAAACGAATTTGAAAACAGTGTATCTAAAACATCATGACTAGTGCGAAATTCATCGATTTTATTTAATATTTCTAAACAAGTCGTAAGTAATATTTTAGATTATAGGATTTCTATCATGTATATCGCAATCCTATTCAAATTTTTGTGTGTATTATACGTATTAATTATATAATTACCAACAGGGATTAGGTCTAGTAGAAGGGGCTAGTCCCTCACAATGTGGCGAATCAAGGTTCGAACCCCCGCTGGAGGATACCTATACTTTAGCGACAAAAATTATTGTTGATCATTTTAATAAATATCAATCATATTTTATAAAATTATATAACGTAACCTTTAAGATGTTACAAATGTACTTCTATATGATTTAAAGGTAATAATAAATTTAAGGTTAAAGTATACTTTAAATTTTTAGTTTTATGCGAGATTTCAGTTTAGTATCTTAATTTTAAAAAGTATATTTTTAGTTATTTAACCTTAAAATTATTAACAAAAAATGATGATATTGAGATTATGAATATTGATAAAATATTCTCAAATGCAAACATATTAAGTTTAATTCAAAACAATTATGATCGTTACAAAAAAAAAATATCATTTAAGACCACCAATTTTAAAATTAAAAAGACCAAAAATATATTTTTTAAAGTTAGGAAATCAAACTAAAATCTTATATAAAATTAAATTACTAAATATATAGTTTAGCCTAAATTTAAGATAGTAGTGATTCATTGAGAATGCTATGTATGATTAGTGATTTTATGTGATTCGATATATAACTTAAAGGTAATAATAAATGTACTTCTATATTGTGCTTGAGCTAAATGGAAGAGACTCTATTTCTTTTAAACAAGATAATCGCGCTTTACAATGTTTAAATATGAAATAATATTATGTATCAAATAATTATAAAAAATCATAACTTAATTGCATAATCATTAAGTTGGCAAAAATTGCATAATAATAAAAATTAATTGTTAACTTTTAATTATTGATAAACAAGTTATGACCTACTAAATATTATTATCAATATATAAAGTAGAACATTTATAACAAATATGGGATTTTGCTAGAGTCGGAAAAACAGATTGAACTCGTCGGGCCGAGCCCATTTACCTCTGAAAATTGTGAGGACCATGCTTGAAATTTTTCCCTTTAAATAAGAAATAGGCTTAAAAAGGTTGGCCCTATAGGACCGAGGGCCTAAACGAGCCAACCCTGCAGGCCGAGGGCCGGCCTTTTAGTCCCTTTTATAATTTTTTTGGTTTTTAATTTTTTTTTGTAATTCTAATTTATTAATTTTTTTACATTGTTAATGATA